TGGCACACTGAGTGAAAACAGCAGAGGAACATCCACCAGTGACTAACAAAGGAAAGTCAGACGCTGCGTAGGGATTTAAGATGTTCAAAGGAGCAGCTTACGCCTCAGGGCCATGTGGGGCCTTCTTGAGTCGCAGAATGAAATCTGTTGTTAAACAAGCCTTTATTGGAATCCACACTTCTGCCATAATGTTGAAGATCAGGGACAAACATAGGCTCAAAGCACTGGCACACAGACGCCAGGGACGATCACAATCCACAGATTCCTTGTCACTGGAGCCATATATCAGACCGCAGAATTCCCATATTGGTAATAAGAAAATCCACACTAAGTGTGTGTGTGTGTGTGTCTCTCTCTGCAGTGCTTTAGCAGGGGATATATAGAGCTTCAGGTGGTGGATATAGGAGCTGACTGTCTCTGGTTTCACCAGATTTTTTTTTAGCTGTGTGGTCTCCAGAGGTTTGTTAAGCACTGCCTCCGCTTGTTTCCGAGAGTCTCCTGGGTGAACCAGGGACACAGACACTTAAAGCTCGAGCGTTCGCCTTTGTACCGCTGTATTTCACTGGGTCCAAACCTCCCCCACTCAGATACGAGTTTAAAGATATCTTGGGAAATCAATGTCATCTTTGACGCTTTCTTTTAAGCTTTCGCTCACAAATGACAGACCTGTTTGTCAGATACAGTTAACAGACACTTTCCACCTGTGAATCTCAAAAATATACACATAAAGTACGAGTAAGGTTGACTTTTTTGCATCGCCATTCATTCACGCGTCATTTAAAGTTCATCATAGATATATTCAAATTATGCTAAACTTGAACAATTACTTCAATTTCAGAAACATATTACACACCATTTTGTATCAACTGTAATCAACTGAACATCTAAAATACTGCCACAGTCGTGGGTCGTTGTTTACGTCGCTTGTTGCAATTCTTGTTTACTGTTGCAGCTCGTTGTTCCTCATTGGTGGGCGTCTGATGACATAAGCACTGTGAAGGCCCAGAAGTGCAGTGGTGTAAACAGTGAGATTCTCCTGAGATTCCCACCAAACCACATGTATGAGCCCTTATAGTGCAGCAGCAGGGAATACAACCACCCGGTCTCTGTTATTATTAAAGACACATGTAAATATATATATGTGGCCCTGCAGCCTGGCAATGTGTCATCTTCACCACTTTCTACACAAGAATCCTAATTATTCCATCTACAGCCAACATGGACATTCTTACACCACTCCACCACAATTTTGAAATAAATAAAAAAATAAATCGAAAAAGTATTTTAAGCCTCTCTATGTCTCATAAATGCTAAATGCAAATATAAATATGCATGAATAGATAAGTGTAATGTCAATAGCAATATATTGAAATATATATATATGCAGTATATAATTATATATGTGTATGTATACAGCATATATGTATATATATATACATAGTAAATATATTTATATATACATAGTAAATATATTTATATATACATAGTAAATATATATATATGCAGTATATAATTATATATATGTGTATGTATACATTATATACGTATAGATGTATATATAGGTTTTTCTTGGCTACTAAAGATGCGGGTTTTTTTCTGTACTTCACCAAATACGACTGAAATGACCATTTTCAAGAAACTAAATTGTGAAGGCTATTTGTGAGAGTACTCTGCTCTTTGACTGCTAGGATTTGGCTTCAGCACTACTATGACATCAACAATACATTTCATTTATACAAGTTCCACAGCCTTGTCCACAGCCTTGCCTACTCAAGGTCTTCAAAACGTTTTCCTGACCACAAATTGCACAGAGCCGATGACATCACAGGTCGAAACATTTGCTCTCTGGTAGAAATCCCTGAAGTGCGATGTGAGGTTTGGTAACTTATCATACAGTACCAGCTACATGATCAGATGGGTGTTTTATACTGCTGACCACATGCTGCTGGGATAATAAAGCTGTCAGATCAGATTAGTCCTCCATCATAGTTTTTTTGGCAGAATAACATCCTCCTCTCTCGCCTCTGTGTGTTTGTTCCCTCGCCTCCTCTTTTGTTTCATCCCTCCAGGTGTGATTAAAATATTCTGAAATGACTACGACACCCCCCGCCCCCCCGCGGGGTTGAACTCCTCCTAGGTTAACCTCTAATTGACACCCCAGACCGCCGACAAACCTCCATCCGTCTCACCTGCTCTCTGCTAGGAAACAACAAACCAACCACCTAGGGTTTTAATTCTCCTGTGCCAGGCTGGGGCCCTGCAGCTACCACAGGCTTCCTGGTGGAGGTGCTGCTGAGGCAGCAGGGGGAGGATTGTTTGAATTGCAGCTAAAACACAGCTGCCTTCAGCTCTGGGATCAAAGGCAAAGGATTACCAACAGTAGTCTGCTGTAATGAGACCACAACCAGTTGAAATAGCTGGGATGGCTCGTTGTCTCCCACCAAACAGCAGTGCAACACCCCCCCCCCCCCCCCCCCGGAACACAGCAGTCTTCTAGTAATGTGGATTTTTTAGGGTGGGGGGCAGGGGGGCGTAATCACATCTGCTGAGAAAACAGTGAAAATCTGAGATTCAAGAAATCTAAAGTGTTGGAGGACAGATGTAGGTTCCTGAAGGAGTTCGACTTTGTACAAAGGAAACGTGTTATTTGTCTCTCACACCAGTTTCCCTCGCCGTACACCCACGGTGTTTGACGAGCCGTCTCGCTCACTCAGCCTCACTTTCCTTCACATTACTGTGATTCAATATATACATGTTATTCAGCGACACCTGCGACACTAAGGTCAGACGAACTCAAAATGTCTACAGATAGAATGAAAAATATTCTTTACTGAAAAGCAACAACAATGAACATCAGATGGTAATATACTGTATAGAGGAAATAGCAATAATATAACTGTTCGTTTTTAAAATGGCCATGCATAACAGTCCATGTGATAATTAACACCAATCAGAAAGTTGTAACCTTGGTTTGTTCTAAAATTCTGTCAGAAATGAAGTTCCTTCTCTTCCCTCCTTTCCTCTTCTTTCCTCACCTTTCCTTCCTACTTCTCTCCTTTCCTCTCCTCTGCCCTCAGCTCCTATTTCCTCCAATCATCTTCTTTCCTATATTCTCTTCTATTTCCTAATTTAAAACATCTGTGTGACAATAGTTAAAAAAAAAAATTCTTATGACGCGTCATGACACTGCACTACAGTAGTACTACAGTAGTACTACAGTAGTACTACAGTAGGTCTACTCTACTGTAAATACTCAAAAAGGCCAAAACCTGGGCTGAGGTGTATTGTTGTTGCCCTCACAGTTGAGTCATTTTTAAGTTGAGTTTTTTGGTTGACAAGTTATGTCTTTTTTTTTTTTTTACCTGTCATATAAGTTTTTCTTCGAAATATGGTGAAATCTCAATCAGGTTAAAATATATATATTTTGTATTACAGTTCTATTGCAACATAACAACAGGACTTACTGGGTTAATTAAATGTATAAATACAGTAACCCTCCAAGTGTGTGTGTGTGTGTGTGTGTGTGTTATCCATAGAGTCCAACTGCCGTCAGAGACAGATTGAATAATGAGCCCTCTCTAATCATGGATTCGTCTTCTTTAACATGTTCATGGCCGCAGTAATGAGTTAATTGACTCATGTTTATTCATGGTGCCTTTGTGAGCAGACAGTGAGCGGCGGTAATTACAGTTTCAGTCTGACATTGAACAAATATGGAAACTTCCAGTGTAAATCTGACACGTTGTCTGGTCTCCTAACACGCATTAACAGCAGCTGATAATCTCACAGTGATGAAAGAGGCTGCTGTGTGTGTGTGTGTGTGTGTGTGTGTCAGGGGAACTGATTTACAACGTCTTCATTCTAAATTCCTTTTTTTGTTCCTGCTTCTTTCCCATGTGCTGCCCTGTTGTTATTATTATTAACATCCCAGGGTTTAACATTTAATTTAATTTAACATTTAAAGCAAAGGAGTTCATTTGCATTTTTCCATATCCAGCTGCTCTCTCTCTCTCTCTCTTCAACCATATAATCTGATGGAATATTTTTTACACAACAAAACGTGAAATACTGTTGTTCTTTAGAAAACAGGACTGTAGATAAAATATAAAGTGGCTTTCTGCCCTTAAAATGGCAAACTTTGAATTTTCAAAAGTCTTCTCAATGTCACTCTGTGTCCAATAAAGTCATTGTTGACCTGTATCTGAATCATTGTAAAAAAAAATGTAGGTACCTCTAAAGTAGTATTTAATAACATAAACATTTCTTTATATAGACTCTAGAACTATAATATNNNNAATATAATATAATATAATATAATATAATATAATATAATATAATATAATATAATATAATATAATATAATATAATATATCAACTGTTTAATTAGTTTTCAACATTGGAAAGTTTGAAGGATTAGAACTTTTTTATATCACAACATTGTCACATTATGTGTCGATATACCCAGATTTGATACAAGGTTTTAGATCTCTCTCTCTCTCCGTGTGTGTATGCGTGTGTGTGTGTGTGTATGTGTGTAGAACATTACTTTTATGAATGCAGATCCTTGACGTCCCTTCAGTGCCCAGCTCCCTGCATCACAGAGATGAGAGAAGTGAGTGACACGCCTCCTCTGGGATCACTTATCAAAACAATGTGCCACCCATCATTTAAAAAACACAGCCCTGCACACTCGGCCACTTTGAAGTCCCCCCCCCCATCATTATTTCGAACCATGCCTTGCCTCTTTTTTTTCGCCCCTCACTGTAAGCCCACTGTAACTGCAGGGATTATTCACAATTCACATCATTTGCACAGCACTTCATCAACAAATAACAATATGTTTGTGTAAAAACTATTCAGTCGGAGGCTCAACCTAAACGGGTTCAAGTGCTGCCAACTGACATGCATCTCTGCCTCTGTGCTGCCAATCCCTGTAAAAAGTTAATGTAAGCAGGATTCACAGAGAGCTGCTGGTGATGAAATTATGGTGTAACTGATACCAATGTGCCATAGTAGAGGAGCGCGCGGCCGCCTGCGTCTTTGAAGGAGGCTCTTCCCATCCCACGATGCACTGCTGGAGAGGGCTCCTGTACGGTTGTACAGTACAAAAGGACAGATGGAGGGCAATACTGCGCGAGAAGCAGGCAATCGTTTTGCCGCAATACAGAAAACAGGGCAGCGAGTGGAGGAATTCATTGTATATTCACTATTGCACACAACACTGAAATCTGCCGACTGTAAATATATACAGTAGTTACAGTGTAAGAGGCTCATATCAAAGAGAATTAAATATTTGTAGGCCAAGATCACCAGTGTCCTCCAGATGTTCACATCAACAGTTCATTCAATTAACTTTGATTTGATCGATTAATAGTCATAGTTATTTTTATATGACGTGTCCTATTTATATTTCATGTTTTTCTCAATACAATTAAAGTTATATAGGAGCAAAGATCACAATATAAAAACATAAAAGACAAAATTAGTTGGCTGTACAAAAAGTACTTCACATACTCTAAATAAATTTTAAAAAATGCAAAATTTTCTAATATGTTTCTTAAATATTTTTTGCCGAAACAGGGTTAAATCCTGAGTGACGATAAGAAAGCTGCATGTGTGGATGTGCGGTGGTTTAACATTCATACCTTGCAGCAGGAAGATCACTGGTTTGACTGTGAGTTGGGACTGACCGGCGCTCCTCAGGAAGATTCCCACGTCTGGGTTTTCTCTGTCACAAAACAACAGCATTAGGGTTAATTCAACACTCGGACTAGAGGTGTGAATGAAGATTGACACTGCATTGCTGCATCCCTTGTTAAGCTACATGTATATTTGTCCATTCATCTGCAGAGCTATTTTGGAAAATGTTTCACGATCACAATAAATTAATTTTATTCAATCAGTTGAATCTACAGTGCCTTGCATTAATATGCAACTGAACTGAGACGTCAATAAAACACGTTGTTTTCCAGCATTTTTGTACTGTTGACAAGTTGGTCTCCAGTACACAAGATGTACTGTAGTTGTGCTGCAGTACTTTACAGGTATTCCTGTAAAGTAATACAGCAAATATGTAAGAACACAGTGTAGCTAAAAAATGAATAGAAACACTAACACCACAGGTTAACGTGTTGATCAACTTTATGACTTTTTGCAAACTGAGCATTTGAATCACATTAGCATAAACACAGTATTGATAACTGTTACTTACAATGATGTAAATTGTCAAGGCAGCTTTAAATGAAAATAAACTGCAGTGGTGGAAGTGTTCAATAACACAAGTCAGTATTTATTTACACAAAAATACAAATCCAGCTCCTCAGAGGAATATAAACTCCGGGTGTCACCCAGACTTTTCCCTGATCTCTTTGCAGCCATGATTACAAATTCAATAAACTGCCATGCCTGCAAAAATGTTGAGACAGATAGTGTAAACAGTGGGGGTTGTCTGAGCGCCGACGGGGGCCACGGCTGCAGCAGTGCCAAAAACATGTTTCTCTATAAGGACAAAACAATGTTGCCTATTACTATAGCAACAGGAAGAGCCGGCTGCCTCAATCAGCTTTTGGTTGGTTTGGCGAGGCTGAGGACAGGCAGAGGAGCCGCGCAGAGCCGCCTTGGTTTTACTAATGAGGGCAGCAGGACACACAGGGTGTCCGACCTCCACACGTCCTACCTGTCACACACTTCCTGTCATCCTGTCAGGCCACACGAGCAGCCTGGGGGTCAGCTTTAAGATTCTCTGACAGAGTGACAGCCTGGAGGGAGACAATAAACACATCTATGTGACTGTAGAGAAATAAACACCCACTGACTCTGGTGTAATCAACACACTGATAATCTGAGAATCGTTGTCTGGATTTAGGATTAGTTAGCGCTGGATAAAAAAAAAAAAAACAGCCGCTGATGTCAGGTGGGTGGAAAAACAAGTTACTTTTTATATTACACACAAAGTATATACTCAAATTAATTGGTATGCATGCAATTACTGCAGTTATTCTCTATTGATTTTCATTTTTGAGGTTGGTTCAATAACAGACATGATTAAACACAGGTCTCGTTATGAATAATTTAAATGTTACAGTGACAAAGGTTAAACTTTTAAAGGTGGCAAATAGAACAGAGAAATAAGAAGCAAACACCACACACTTGTATACATTATATATATGTATATACAGTGTATATGTGTGTATATATGTATCAATATGAATGAATTTAAAATAAAAAATATGTAATTAATTGTCAAAGTTGCTCTAGGACTTTTTTGGGGGTAAAATAGTTTCATCATTGATTTCTAGCGGCTGAAATAAAACAGCAGTTTATGTTGTTATGAGTGAATCCATACGTAGGAACAGATACAGTGTTATTATCCCAGAAAGTGCCAGGTCTACAGAAAAACAAAAAACTAAATCTGCCTTGATATGGCAGCACGAGTCCAACTGCAAACAAACATTTTACCAGACAATAAAACATAAAGGAACAAGTTATGATTCCTCAAAATTGATTCATTAACTTGTTTAGGCCTAATGAATGTACACAAAACCCCACAAACAAACGGCAGTGATAAGCAGTAATATATTTCACACAAAAAAAACAAACAAAAAAAACCAAAAAAAAAAACAATTCTCACCCGTTTACAAACAGATCACATTTAGCTCCATCAACCTGACCTGCAGGGCTACGCACACACCTAGGCCCAGGGTGATGAGCCGAGCGCTGCTGAAACAAAACTCAAAAGAGACCGAGTCTGAACCAACGGACCGTCAGGATCCAGGATCCTGAGCTGCCCTGGTTTCTGTTCCACCAAGTGGTCTCAGTGGCTAAACATCTTAAAATGTTGTTGTTTTTTTTGTTTTCATACAAAAGCATCTCATTTAAGGAAAGTAGTTGTTTTGAACATTTGCTGGAGCAAAAAGAGAATATTAAGAGATTTATAACTTTCTCCTTTTGAACATTTGCTGGACCAAAAAGAGAATATTAAGAGATTTATAAGTTACAATTGTGCCTCGGCACAGCCACTGCTGCTCTTTGTCTTAAGATTTAAAGGCAGCTCTACACTGTGGCTGCAATAATGTCACTTAATGGGTCTATTTTCCACTGATAAATATTTAAAAAGGAATTTAAAACAAAATAATACAGACAAGGGACCGTGGGTAAGAAGCAGATGTACAGACCAATGTCTGAAAAGATTCATGTCAAGTTGAAGTAAGAAGCAGATGTCTGAAAAGATTCATGTCAAGTTGACATTTCTGCATATTCTGCTTACTTTTAATATTTGATTGTATTTACAAAAGGTTATACGGTCAGAGTAATGAGTGATGTTAAAAATAACTGTTGATAAGACAATTATAGAAAGGACAGTACTTTCACTTTTAAAAAGGAATAATATTATACATGAATTACTTTCTAAATGTAACTAAGGTAAAAAAAAGTTCACACAAAGCAGAAGGAACTGGAGGAAATTAATTCCTCATCATAACATTTTTGTGAGCTACAATCATTTCACAGCAAAGCAGGTTCAAACTGAGGTTACATTTTTGACACCAGTATAGTCTGTGTGCCTGTGTGTCCCTGGGCGACACAACTGACCCCTGAGACTATTATACCAACCCAGGAAGACGCCACAGAGACTGTCAGCCATGTTAGAGTCTCATTAGCTTTGGGCTAATAAACTAAATGTGTGGACAGATCAGGAGGACGCAGAGGACACACAGTGGAGTGATGCTGTTAGACATTTAGTGCGTCTCTAATGGGAGGCTGTAGTTTGATCCACGCAGGGCACCATCGTGCTTCTCCTGCATCACCACTTGTTGTACACAGTCGCGCGCGGCGCTCTTAGCTCGTATCCCAGGTTGGTGCTAATGTGTAATGATTAGCCATCAGCGTAAGAGTGATGGCAGGCCAATGGAAACAGAAAAGATCCCTCGCACAAACCAATGGTGAGGCCACACTGTTGTAGCGCTCAGCGAATCCCCAGCGGATCTGATGCAACAGGGCTGCAACTAAAGTTACACATACGAAGTGCAACACCGTGTCCTTCCGCTGAGGCGCACGGAAAACTAGTGCCGACTGAGCGCGCCTCTCGCACTACTGCACGCTCTAAACTAAACGGGTGTCTTAAGAAGCTTAAAAACACGAAATGAAGATTAAAAGACACAAGCAAGAAGATGTTAAGAAATACTTAACTGTATCATAGTTGTTTTGTTTTGTCTGCGACTTTTTAAAGATGGCGCTGTTTTAGTAAAAAAAACAAACATAAGAACGAATTGTTCTTTAAAAAAATACTGTGTTGGTTTTTTTAGTAATTTTGAAACAACTTTCAGTAGTTCAGAAATCCAAATTGACATAAAACGAGGATCAGCAATATCCTTTGAATATAAAAAATTAATAAATTGCCCCTCGGGGACAAATAAAGTATTTCTGGATATCCTTTGAATATAAAAATGTAATAAATAGTGCAGAAAACATTTATTACAGTTAGTAAAACTTAGAAACAAACTAAACATTTCAAATAGTGCAGAAAACATTATTACAGTTAGGAAAACTTAGAAACAAACTAAACATTTCAGCCTAATTTGATTTCTTCATCGTTACATTTTACTAGTAAAAAAGAATCTGTTAAAAAAAACAACGAAAACTCCAGTAAACAGCATGTGCGTGTGTGTGTGTGTAAAAGGGAAAGTTATAAGGTTCATGACGTAACGGCCAACTGAGCGCTTGCAAACCAGCGGAGGGATTTCGCCTCTTGGTGCTGCGGTCAGGGCTCGAGGAGTTGTTGAAGTAGCGGATTTAAAAACTTTCTGTCCGCAAGTGTTTTCTCCTGAAATAGCGCTTCATCAAGAGTCTGCGTCTTCCTGCGGGGACAAACATGGCTCTTTAAAACTGTCACCGTCTCCTCTCTCGACGTCAAGCTCCGTGTGCAGTGCACTTCACCCGAATACTCTGAAACTATGGGGTAAGTCATTTCGTTGTTGTACCGCGGAACCAAAGTTAAGTCGAGGGTTTAGTGCAGTAACATGCGAAGACATGTCGAAATAATGATAGGCGACGTTTTTTATTAATTGTCAACTAAATTTGGAATACTTTGTGACATTTAGACCACAATTTGGACGCCTTTGTTTAAAGAAAAACTGATTTTTTTATGAATATATGAAATGTTCGTCTTTATAATTGATACCATTTTATCACATACAACAACACATATATGTACTTTTACATGTATGTACCTATTCAATGGTTATGGTTATTATTCATATTTCTAGGTCTGTTGTTATGTTTTTTTTTTATAAAATAGATAATGTATTTAAACAAGGTTAAGTTGATAAATTTATTTTTATTTTCCTCTATGTCAATGTTTTTTATTCTGTTTATTTCATAACTGATGTTTATTTTATAACTGTTCTGCTTGTTAATTAATATGATATTAATCAATCAATTCCATCAAGCTAGTGAAAGGTGAGAAGGAAGTCAATCAAAAACAATTAAGCTAAATCCCAAATTTTTTTAATGTAATTAAAAGTTCACTTAAAAAAGGCTATAATTTTGTAAAATTGTTGTTCATTGGCTTTTAAGTACTTCATTAGAGTTGATTGGTAATGGAATTAAAATATAAATGAAATTAACTCAAATTAATTGTTTTTCTTGTTTTTTTCTATCTCCGCAGGTCTTCAACTACTCGTTCACACAACCAGTGCACGGTTTGTGCTTTTGAAAATTTTGATCGAAGCAGACGACACAATGGCGGCATCGATCCTTCGCAGGAAAATTCCTCCCATTTCCACAGGCGAGCTCGGCGCTCCCTTTCTCCAACAGGCTAGCTACAGCCAATCGCATGCCGGGATAGGGGCGGAGCCTGTGGAGAGGCAGCACTTAATTGGTGAGTTATGCCAAGAAGCTTTTTTATTTTTCCACATCCCGAGGTCGGAGCCGCAGTGCAGCACGAGGCTAATGTCGTACAGTGAGTACAGCTAAGTGGATATTTGTCGAATGCAGACGATGCTGTTCAATCATTTTCAGATGATCGGTTAGTTGTTCACTTTGACTTTTAAGATGTTTTTCGTGATTTTGCTTTTTCTATCCTCACAGCCTTGCGTTATTTAAGGATATCATTATTTTCTACCGAATTTGTGGTTTTCGTTCTAGATTTACTGTTCAAACAGTGTGACAACTGGATTGTTTTACTTTATGATTTCTTTTTCTGTTTTTCTTTTAGGCGATGGTCACTCAGATTGGATGACGGAAAAAGTTGATTTGTCTTCATTTGTGTCGACTACCGAGTCTTCTCCAAGCTCTTCCCTACCACCGTCGCCACTTGAACAGGATGTCAAGGTGCCCTCAGATCTGGAGGTCATGACCTCTCTACTACAGGAGGAGCTGGCTCAGCTGGAGGACTACTTCCGCTCCGAGTCCACATCAACTACAAGCAAGTTGGAGAAATCATCAAAATGTGACAAGGGTGCTCAAGCCATGGGCTCCCAATCTTATTATCAGTTACCTTATGGCTCATATGGGTCCAGTCAGGCAGAAACCAGCCCTGTAGTTGTCACCTTGTCCACAGGGGAACTGGACCTGTCCAGCTTCTGTGGTGGTCCCATTGGCAGAAGCAAAATTGCTCGACCTGCTCCGTACAACTACCACCACCGCTACCACCACCATCACCACCATCATAACAATGGGCGGCGAATCATCAGCGACGCCGTGAAAGTTGGTGATGAAGCTGGACTCGATTCGTGGGGCTCCAGAGGAGGTTACTCAGGTAGCACAGAATTGTCTGTGAACCACTACTCCACACTGAAGACAGTGAGCAAGAACAGCCTGGGCAGCGTCAAGAAGGTGAGAGAATGTGCTTTATCGTTGAAGGAAGAAGAAAGTTATTGCTTTTCAGAAGGAATGTTTTGCAGTGAAGAGATTGCTCGAGGGTTTTGTCTGGGTGGTTCGTACGAGAGCCACCACAAGAGAGAGGGACAGTTGATGCACAATGTGAAGGTCAACGTAAGTTATGACAGCACAGGGCTGGATGTTTTGCACTGCAACAAAGATGGAGGACTCTCTGGAGGTATCCCCCAAGAGACAATGGTGGCCGGTGACGGCTACTTTCACCAGTCTATGGCCAGCACGGAGCCTTACCATAGCTTTATCAGTGATCTCGATCAGCCGTCACAAACTCACGCTGTTGAGCCCCAACATGGCCACTACCTCTATCCGGAATGCCTTGCGGACCAAAGCTACGAATGTCTGTCCAGAGGAGAGAGTGAAGGGCCACTCATGGGTGCCCCCATCCACCGCCCTACCCAGAGGCTAAAGGACGAGCACTGCCCCCTCAAGCCATCTCTGGTGATGGGCACCACATCTATGGATATGAACACCGGAGAGAAGAAGCAAAAGAAGAGAGATCAGAACAAAATGCTGCTCACAGGTAAAAAAAAAAAAAAAAGTGTCTCTGCCATCTGTTTGTCTTTTCTGGGTCTTCTCATAAAACAGCCAAAATTAGACTTGTTTGCAGAAGCCAGATGATATAAATATGGTGCATAACCATCTAGTGAAACTAAAAACATAATACAGTCATCCGAGTTTTTGGTTACCTTATCTATCAAGTATTTAATGAGAGTGGGAAGCATGTTATTTTGTTGGCTGGATGTAACATAATCCAGACACCGACAAACTTTAAATGTCTTACAGAGTGTAGGAGGGAAATGGAAAGTCCCTCACTGTGTGCCAAACTAGCCCCACCTAGCTGTTTCTATAAGTCTGCTGTGTGTGAATCATTTCTTTAAATCTGTGTAAAAGGACATCCAATCTGAATAAATCTATGATGTAAGCCTTGGAAAAGTGTAAAGTAAAAAAAACAAATCAGTCCCGAACTCAGCAGTAGGTGGAATAAAGAGCACACCAGTGGTGTGCCGGTTGAATAATCCACCACATGTAGGACAAAGGTCATGCTCATTGGACACATTAATACAACGGAATGAAGCTGTCAAACCAACTGAGTGCTGATTTTTTTTTTTTTATCTTCCTCTCTTGTAGGTACCGGCTGAGGAAGAGGGCGGAGTTAGACTCTCTGGAGGAGGAACTTCATGGCCTCGAGGGGCAAAACCGGGAGCTTCGTGACAAGGCGGAGTCGGTGGAACGAGAAATCCAGTACGTCAAAGATTTACTGATTGAGGTCTACAAGGCACGTAGTCAGCGGCTCAAACAAGACGGCAGTGCCTAGGAGAAAATTAACAACAAAAAAAATCACCCACTCCTGCCCAAAACACTGGCCTAACCTCTAAAGTAAACCGTGACCAGCAAGAGAAAAGTCAAGTCAAGAGCACCATCTGACTTTGGCTCACAAATAACGGTAGTTGCATGATTTTGTAGTTTTTTTCCCCCTTAAAAAAAACAACAAAAATATATATATGATGCGATTGCAAAACAGAATGGAGGAAGAGGGGAGTTTCCAGATGGGTGACTTTAACTATGAGAAGCCTTTTTGTGGTTTGTTTTGCCCAGAGGAGATGCTGAACTTGTCCGTGACCACTGTGATCTGAACTGCACTCACAGCCTTGTGATGACTTGAGTTTGCGCTTAAAATGATTGATCTGTTTACATAAAAAAAAACGAAAAAAAAAAAAAAAAAAGCTTTTTGAATTAGTAGCAGTGATTGAAATTTGCTTGTGGTTTTTTGTGACACATTGGCAGCATTGAGGCAGATCCATGAGAATTATATATATATAAATATATTATTTTATATTTTATTCAATGTTTATTTATTGTTTGCTTCAAAACAATCAAGTGAATAAAGGGATCACTGGATTATTTTTCTTTTCATTTATCAAAATAATGTGTAACATACTCTACAGATATTCACTATCAGAGATTTGTAACTGCTAACATGTTGAGTATTTTCAATTCCTTCACGCCACTAAAACTCCCAATGCATGTTTGATTTTGGAAACGCATGTGCGAGTGTTATTTAAAGGCAATATTCTGTTTTAACTGCATGGCTTAAGATTCCCACCATCAGTCAATATAAACTGAGTTGACTCTGCTCTTCTCTGACCCTCTCCCTCTCCTCTTCAGAAGTGACTCATGCACAGGTTTTGTTTTCCTGTTTTGAGAATCACATGCATTCGCTGCCTTTGCTTTGCTTTCTTTCCTCCTGCTCCCTCTTTCTCTCTTTGGTGTATTCTTGCGAACAAACAATCACCTGTTGATGCAACAATAAATTGTTGTTGGATAATGGTACAGCTTCATTTTCTTGTTGTCTGTTGATGAATTTGATGTTGTCTGAATGAAATTCAGGTTCTCGCTAAAATTATTATCCAAATGTCCGTGTCAGGAAATTATACAGTACATCAGGTAAAAAATTGCAGCCAAAAATAAAATGAAGTTACGCATTATGGCTGTTTGCCTGTTTTTTCCTCTACACTCACACACACACACACACACACACATCCGCCACAACGCTTTACTCTGTTCACCACAGCACATCAGCTGCCGACAGAACAAGAACCCGCACTGAATAAGAAGACGGGATTAAGAGATAAAAGGAAGCGCAGGGGGGAAAAAACACCATCAACCTCTAGGCCTGTCTTTTTGTTTGAGCTCACATCTGGCCTTAAACCTCTCTCATCCCTTCCTCACTTTGCTCTGCCTGCAAAACAGTCAAAACCAGCTATTTCCCACAATTCACCAGTGGGCAGTAATTTGTCTCAGCAGACACTGAAAAAAACACGACGACACTTGACCCCGTGTAAAATCACCTTCTTGACAAACGGTGTTAAAGTTTGATTCGTTCAGAAGGCCACATGAAAGAAGAAAATATATTTTCTCAGCTTGATGATTAGAATATTTCTCTCTCTATTCTTTACACAATGTTGGTCCTGCTCCATGATCATAGAGTGTGTTTGATTGATCCACAGGGCTGAGCAGAATTATATCAAACTGCAGCAGTCAACAGACAAAATAAATTGCCTATCTCATCCTCCAGCCTGTGAAGGGTGTGTGAATGCATGCATATATATATGTGTGTGTGTGAGAGAGAGAAGGAGTGTGTGTGAAATCTCTTGGTATCTCTCCTAGCAGTACTAGGCCTTTCAAGTGCATGAGGCAACATCACACAATACTTGCACAAGGAGGAGAGAGACATACAAGTGAACTAACAGAATAAGAAAGTAGGGGTTTGACAAAGAATGCCGTTAAATTTGTCCACACAGTTTGTTTTCTATCCGCGTGTGTTATTTTGATGCAGATGAAACTCAATGTCTCACTGATGTATTTAATATACATAATACAGAAATTAAACGATTTTTAAAAATATACATTTTCGTATTAAACACATGATATACTGAAGAATTCAGAGCATATTCACAAACATGTCTGAGTAATGTAAAATAATGGTCAATTACACTTACTGATTTGTCGCATGGAAAATTATGTCAGTCAATACTGTATTCTTTAGCTCCAGAATTTCTATATGTAAGGTGTTTTTATAGGTATGGAGCATTACGGGACAAAGGAAGTTCACATTATTTTAAATCATTTCTGAAAAACATCAAACTCACAAAGACATACGTCGTCTAGAACAAACCAGTCGATTTGGATGTTCATTCCCACAGTGACTTGTAGCAACAACAAAAAAACAGTTAAAAGACAACACTCTGGAGACATCTATAAATAATTTGCCCTAATTTTTTTCACAACAAAATATTTTTTACAGAGTTGGGAGACAGCAGGGAGAGGCGTTTACCCAAATAACACCAGCCTCAGTAAAACACAGGGGTGAGACTATAAGGATGTTCAGATGCCTCAAGTGCATCAAGAACGTGAAGAGACTTTTTACTGGTACTTTTTAGGTTTGAAACTCAATACAAGTCTTTTAAATAATGCTCAATAACCAAAAATGGTCAAAAGTGCGAAACATTTGGAGTTAATGAATTATTTTGCCTAACGATTGACGGATTAATCAACTAGTCTTTTTGATAACGGCTAAACTTTCTCTTCTATGGAAAACCACTCCACCCAGAATGGCAGTCCTTCACCACCAGGTGTCACTGTGAGATTAGAAAAAGACTGTAGCCTGCTCCTTGAGTCTCCAACCCTTTCATGACAGCACAACAGTTAAATTGGGTGTATGCCAGAGTACTGCCAGTCACTGCCATCAACACAAGCTGTACATATAAGAAATGTGGTTCCTAACTATGATCTCTACTGTGAAGTCTAGATTAAGACTTGAAGTGCTATTTTCGGATTAAAGGGCAACTCCTTACAATTTGAAAGATTGAAAGTGGCTTCCTCTATTACTCCCTGTCTTTTTTGGATGAACAAACAGCAGCTATTATGTCTGGTTGTTTTTGGCTAATACCATCCAGTCATTCTTAGCTGTTTTATTCTCAGGGCTTACCACAGTGGACAGTCCATGTTGTCAATATGGAACGTTTTTTGTTTTTTTTCTTTTGACAGATGACCTTTCCTAGTCAACCGTGTGTTTTTTGTTTCTTTTTTTACCTGCAGTCAGTCACGTTGTTCAATAGTGAATTTCTTCCAATTAAACTGTGACAAAATCAAGGAACTAATCATTCACACAGATCAACCAGATCTGCAGCTTCAAGTGCATAAGAATCCTCACAGACAATAAGGTAACCTTGAACGAACATGTAACCTGAAAAAATGTCAACCTCAAAAATAAATTATTGTCTATGACTCACATTACCCTGCCTACCTGATTGGCAGGGCTGAGCAGTTCACCAGAGAAAACCCGAGCACACTCAGAGAAAACATGCAAATGTTTAAATCTATTATTTAAGGATACAGGACCAAGTTATCCAAAGAAGGTATTAGAGAGAGGTTGCATTTACTGACCTAAACCTACAACATTGGCTGTTATGGTTTGAGATTATTTTAGGAACACCGCAAAAGTTCTCTTTGCCCACGTAACAGTGTCGGTTTTGAGGAATGGAAAATAAAATTAAAAGGAACAAAACACAAGAATGAATGCGTAATCAAAAGATATGACACGTTGAATAACAGCTCATAAGGTGTGGCACATTATTTTGCTGAGATTTGGCATTGAGTTTAACTGTAATCAGTCTGTCTGTCTGCACTTGTGTATTGTACTGCTTTATTAGGGAACACAGAGTCATCAGGTTAACCTCTGCTTTTTAAAAGAGCTGCATTCAAAAAAACATTGCAATGAACAAATTATCTAAATTTGACTTATATATATATATATATAAAACCAACACATTGTTTGCAAACTCTTGAGAGGAATAACGCCTATGAGCAACAAACAACACACACTGTTCTGATTGGTGGTCATACAATTGCTACATAAAACAAATATAAAATCATAGTAAAATTGTAAACTCACATTTGGGATATGGGTTGGTTAGCAGGATGCAGGATGAGGAGAGTGATGCAATGCATGGACAGAAATGGAAGGAGGCAGGTGGCGGGACCACCAGGAGCATCCATAGTAGAAGATGAGCTGGAGTAGCAGAATAGCCTGCAGCTCTGTGGAGGGCAGTGTGTAAAGCAGAGAACAAGTTTTAAATTCATTATGAGCTGATGCTGAGCACTGCCACTGCAGTAGCTGAGAGAGAAATCAAGGTGATGGTCAAGGTACCAAGGTGGATAGATTATGTCGGAACAGAGTTAGTGAAAATAAACTCAAGGCCATTCAATATAAGCTATATGCTGGAGATTACTGGAGGAAAACAGTCAATGGACTAATCAACTGGCCACCTAGTTTCCTTTTAGCGAGACAAAAACAAACAGCCCCCTCCAGCGTAAGAAGTTTATATCAATGTAAACAGGTGAGTAAGATCACACATTCACTCTTAGCATTAGTCACATTAGGAGATATATAACAGGTGAGGTAGTCAACAAATCCCCCATTAACTCATCCAAACTTTGGATTTATAGATATTAATTCCTCATAATACCACAGCTATTACTATGGATATGGATAAGGTGATAAAAAAATACAGGAAACAGGAAAACATTAACATTCACGTTCAATTCATCTGCAGTGGCTATACTGACCTAGCTGTTAGCTTAGCTTAGCAGCGGGGGCTACTTCCTCTAGCTCTACTGCTCTCTCTCTGGCTCTCTCTCATACATATACAGAACTCAAACAAATGAAATAAGGAGAGAACGTAAAATCATACATGCGAAGCAAGGAAGCTGTCCACTAAGTGCGCGCAAGACATTGAGCTATTTACGCCAATCTGTTTTCAATGTGGGCGGGCCGTGACACGCAACTGAATTCTGAGATCAATAACTTCTTACTTTCCTACCAAATACATATAAGTATGAAAGCCACGCAAAGTAGAGCGGAAATTAAATTATTGGTTAGTTTCCCTCATTAAAAGTCAAAAGTTATTCTTAGGTACACAACAAATAAACCACCGTCTAAGGAAAATTACTTACTCAGTGTAAGCAATGCCTAATGCTCAGCATGTAGTCACTCTGTTTGCACAACTGTAAGATTAAAAGTGAGGCACAAGGGACTCAACATTTCTTCGAAATGCCGAAGTTTTTGAAGCATTATCCATCCATTATTTATTAATTTAATTACAACAACAAAAAAGTATATTAAGTAAAATGTGTTATCAAAACATACAGTCTGTGTGACATGGGGGCTGAACCTGAGGAGTTCTGGTCACGATCAGGTTGTTGCAATTTGTGTCAATTGTTCTCTAATGATTTGTTGTTCTTTATGTTAAGTCAGACAGTTGGAAGTAACACGTCCAAAAACAGGTATTTCTTATCTTTAACTGTCTGAAGCTAAGTCTTTAGGAAAACACTGACATTAACGACATGGAAAACATGTTTACTTGTTGCTACGTCAAAGCGAATATCCAGCATCCTAATTCTATACAGTTATAACAGCGTGTAAACTTCAAACAGAACATTTAACCTTGCACAAACACACTATAAAGAACTATAAACTAACTCATTATGCATTTAACCAGTAAACTATAAGCTATTCAGCCACGACCTTCCACCATTTTAACTACCATCTTATGCTAATGTACTGTAAGGATGATAAAACATATCTCAAGTATAATAAAGCTAGTAAGTAGAGCAGAGAAGAACAAAATAGACACAATTAAAAAAAAATGTTAAAAAACCTCATCAAGTAAAACTTGGCACAGCTGAATAACTGCCATTTGATCAGATATAGTGATAAAAGACGAATATAAAAAGGTTAAGTAATTAGAATCTAATCCTCATGAAATGATCGCAAATGGTACACACGTTTAATTTCCCCTAATACATATACCTGGGTGAGGTAAAAATGTGTTTTATGTATGAGACATGAGTCATAACTGTACATGCCTATAAAAGTATAACTGATTATGATACATCCCTCCAACAACCACTATCTTCACACTGACTGGAAATGTTTAAGAATGACAATTTATCATTTTGTATTAGTTTAAACCTGTACTGGGAATATATTTATAGTGATTACAAGCCAATAACAACTTGAGGTTTTTTTTTTTTAACGTGGTTCAAAGCGGCCACAGCTGTGGGAACAGTCTAGATGTTCAAGAGCGATGCCCCCTGCACATCTGCCTGAGGGCAGCAGCAAAAAGAAGAGATGGCTTGGTTGCGTGGGGTTCTTATAAATGTCTGATGATCTCCTGCAGTTTTTTCAGTTGAGTCCTGACATATTTTTGTGCACTTAACATAACATGCACAACTGTCCTTCTGGTTGTTTTTCTCCTTGAATCTATTTTCTATTTAAGACTATTCTCATTGTTTTGCCTTGCTTTTTAGCTGCCCTTGCGTTGCCTCATTGCACATTAATGGTTGGTTTAAAATTAACCTTTAACATTATCTGTGGTCCGGACTTCAAATTATTACTGACAGTAAATGTCATGAGTAGAAAAACACAACACAGAAAATGTGTATTACTGTTTATTATGCGAGGAGCCACCATAGTTTACCTCAAAGATTACTGCAGCGTGATACACAATACAACTTGACCCACTGCCAAAAAACATCACTATGTGTTAATATTGGTGACCAAACACGTTTACATTTAGTAGACAAAAAAGAGGCCTTTGATCCGTTTTACAGGATCCTTTTTTTTTTTACAAATATCTCTGTGATTCAAAATTATATTAAAAACACTCTAGACACACTTAAAACATTTACAATAAAAACATTTACTTTTTATAGCACATAGTGGCTAATGCATTTGATAGGGTACCACTACGGTTCCCAAAGTGGGGGGTGCTGCCCACCCCAGCGTGAAAAAAAAGTATATATATATCTATATATATCTTCATTTAAAATTACACAAATCTGTAATTTATTTCCTTTGTTCAAAAGAATAGCAGTTTTGTAGGAATAACATTTATTTAAATACAGTTGGTGGGAATTTTGAAGCAGATGTAAATATTTAGGAGTTAGGGGACTCAAAAGTAGTCTCATCTCCTAAGGGGCACGAAAAGGGAACCGATGATTATAATGAAAAAAAAAAATCAAACCATGATGGTCATAATGTTCTAATAACAGTAAACAAGTACAAATAAAGTTTAAAGTAAACTATCCCAATACAAAACAACGCTCAAAACAACCCTTCATGCAAATGCTAGCATGGTAACCACAGTTCAATTCTGATTTAAATATGATTGGTTTTAGTGTCATGGCAGTCAGAAAATATGGCCTAAAATACCCAACAACTTGTCATCTAACAACATTCCCATCCAAACATCGTTAACCTTTGGAAAAATCAAAATGTCAAAGTTTGCCTGAAGGTTTCATTAGAAAAACAGCCACCAGAACAGTGGGCATTTGTAAACCAACAACCCCCCCCCAAAAAAAGCACTGCACTGGACAAGATCTGCGACTGTTATAGAACAGCTTGATTGTCGTCACTTAATTAATGATGGCAAGAAGCACATTCCGATCTGCTGTTTGAAGTCACGCAGCTTTTTTTGCTGTCTACCACTTCAAAGGATTGTGTGATCAACAAAAGGCTGCAGTTTAATAAACTCACTCTTACAGTATATCCATGAAACCAGGGTGAGACCTTGCCTTTTTACGAGCAGCATTTTTATACTATATCAACACTCATTGGATAATGTGCAGTTTTCCATAAAGAAATAATTTGTTTTTACAGATTTATTGACTGAATTTGAACAAAAAAAACAAAAAAAAAACCCCACCCCAAAACCCTTGTAAAATCGTTGTATTATCTTGCAAATATTTTCTTATAGGACTTTATTAATGCACCTCTGCAGACTCTCCGGCTGAGGACAACTTGTTACGACAATGTAACAAACAGAGGAAGTTTCATAGAAACCAGCTAATTGGCACCTAATGTTTTTGTGCAGGTTAATAAAAATACATGCCCGGTCGAAAGTCAGACATTTTTAACCTCACACAAAACATCAAGTGCTTTACATGTCAGGCCTGGACAGAGAAAAAGAACCATGTTATCTCTGGTCTTCTCATGATGATCCAGGCCTGAACCAACTCACAACATTACCGTTGGGTCTCTGAAATGATGACGATCACAGTGTCACCCTAGTCTAGGTTGCTTACTCCAGCTTCTCTGAAAAAGAGCAGGAAAACCAGAAAGTCAGTAATGAAGAAAACATTTCTGTATGGCTCTCAAAGACCATCCAAAGCTGACTGAAATGAAATTAATGTTGTAAAGTAAAATACATGACTTACAGACAAACGTTTTAATAAAATAGTCTTTATACAAATGATGCCTTGATGTGTCTGCGGATAAGTGTGAGTGTAAATTAATATCCAGTAGAGAAAAATTGGAATTATGATATTATTAATTATATATTTGAACTAGTTGTACTGACATCATGATAATAGCTTGTGCAGTTCCACTGGTGCAGTGACAGAACATATAAAAACAGAACAGTCAGTTCATGAACAAGACAAATTAAATGTTCGCCCTGCCCGTGTCTATTATAGAAATGCTGGCAACAGGTCGGAGCCATTTCTGTGATTGACAGTTTAAACATATGTGATGTTATCGTTTAGTAACAAACTTCAGAAGAGTGGAGAGTCAGTAAACAGTGTTGGTTGCTAAATATAAAACAGAAAAAAAAAGAATTTATTATGGCTGTGTATTGTAGTAAATATTACATTTACCACAATACACAGCCATAAACCGTTTATGGCAATTGTAACAGTTTATAAGGTAATTCTCAACTGCTCCAATTAAGGGGAAAAATGTAAAACAGAAGGAACGGTATAAATTTGTTGAGATCGTGTTAATCATCACTGTTGTTACATGGTATATATTATATATCTTGCCAAAAGGCCACAGTTATGAATCCACCTTAAAACTAACTTTGGTTTAACAGCCAAACCAAACTCAACCAAAGACAACGACATCATGGAGATACAGTTTGGTGTTGAGCTGACAAACCAAGTTAAGTTCAACAACTTTCATTTTAATCAGGTTCTATTGATTTATGTTTGTTGGTTCAGAGGGTGTTGTTAAAGATTTGACTGATCTGACTGATAAATATCGTCACCACATCCACTGGCAGAGGGCAGAGAGTGCGAGGAGCCTGGTCTGCATACTTGTAAACACAGACTGGTGCCATCTACTACTCTTCCTCACTGACTGTTTGTTTGTTTGTGCTCCTTGTAGCTCAGCTCTGCATGAAAAAAATCTGAACAGCACACACCGCAGACAACAACGTTAGACTTTGTCAACACACTTATACCATTTGGAATGTCCTCTGGCTAAAACTGTTAGCCAACACACACACACACACACACACACACACAGGTGGTGCTGTGCCACAGAGAGGACAGGGATGGACTACGAGAATGTCCTACCATGGTGTGGAGGTAGCTTCCCATGTGCAGCAGACACTCCAGAGTCTCCAACATCTGCTCTTGGCGGAGTGTGTACAGTCTGGTCTGACTGGGGGATCTGCTGCTTTCCAGCTCACACACTGCGTCCTTCAGAGCCACTGAAGTACACTGGAGAACGCTCATTCCTGAAAACACAATCAGTATTTGGTCTTTGTGAAAAAAACAAACAAACAAAAAAAAAACCCAACTCACTGTACACACTGTACTTGTGTCTTTTCTCTTTTTATTTTTAACTAACTTTGTACTATATTGAACCCATATTGGGAAATTGTTGTGTTAGCAGCAGATATGCTGTTAACAGGCTGCCCTCTAGCAAGCGCTAGGCATGTGGTTCCTCTGGGAATCGAACCCAGGACTCTGCTTCTGAGGCAGGTGATTTAAAAAAATAAATAAATGAAATAAATAAATACTACTTACAAGATGAAAAGATTTCTCCAGTACCTTTGGATATAGTGTGCAATATCCTAGTGAGTTTTGTGGTATTGTATTTTTTCCATGAGTTTCCATGAGAAGCTCTGACTCAAATATTTTATTTTATATTAATAATACCATTTTATTGAATTATATTCTTTTAACCAAAGACAATAACACAATTAATCTCGGAAGAGACTGGTGCAGCGAATAGAAGTAAAGCACCTTATGACATACACTAAGTAGCCAAAAGTCACAGCAGTGTGAGCAGAGTGTGAGTCTGTGATAGTAGCACTAAACTGTTGCTAATTTGTTTTCCAAAAAACACATTCTTATTTTAACAGACTGTTACATTAATCACATTTGCTTGGCTAAGCCAACCTTTGCTAATGCTGCTCATCTGTAATACTTAAAACGTAGTTTTAATGTGACATTAAAGTTTATTGGTTTGTTTCAATACATTTAGTTTAATGTGATTTATACAGTAAACATCAAAGTTTGAATAGTTTAAATAGAACATACCACAGTTATCAGTAGCTTCAACATCAACATACAAGCCACTTGTCATTGCATGTTTGAGAACCTGAAAGACAAAACCAACCGGGTTAAGGAAACCCATCATCAGGATGACATTTAATAGTGTGTATCTGTTACAAACGACACTGCGTTCAGCAGACTGTGGTCTGTCAGCAACAGCCCTGGATAAAAAGAACCAAAAATCCAAGTCTTTAAAATGGATTCTCATCCGTTCAAATCTTGTTTGTGTTTATTTCAATAGAATGATTTTGTTTTAAATCCATTGCCTCATTATACATAAAATAATAAAAAAGAAAAAAAAAGAAATCATAATAGAAATAAAAGAAATCATAATATCCATGATTGGGGAAAAAAGGAAAATAACTTATTTAACAAAGCACTCAGGGAAGAAGTGCACACTTAGGTGTCAATAAGGGTAGTGCTATGTTTGCTACAGAAGAATCAATATTTAATTAACTTTTTTACCTGTCTGGTATAACATGTACTGTGAAACAATGATGTCACGACTCTGATCACCTGCTACTGTCTTTCCTCTAACTAAAGTCTACCTGTACTCTCTTGCTACTATTTTAATGCTTATATTTGTGTCTGTAAATTATTGGAGAACTTTTATTTATTAACACCAATGTTATAGTTGACATACATTTGCAAAACTCTATTAAACCCTAAACAAAGTACAGATAGCCGTAAATCAGAGACTGCATGTATTGACTATTTTCCCCAAAATATTGTCCTTTATTTTGAAATGTAGTGCCTTAATACATATGCATGTGTGTACATTAAAAGATTGTTTCCTAAAGACTGGGTCGCGACCCTCAGGTGGGTCACAAGAGATTTTTTTTTTGGGTCGTCTCACATCAAACAACCATTCACTATCACTTTTGTGATTACAACAAGATCCGTATAGTGAGCACTACCATTCACTATCACTTTTGTGTTTACAACAAGATCCGTATAGTGAGCACTCCAAACCTGGCTTTATTGACACTGAGAATGGTGTGTCATTGTTTGGAAAAACTAAATTCCAGCCAAGTCCCTATAACATCTGCGTCAGTTGAGCTACATTCACATAAAAACTAATTACAAGCTGCTTGGACTGTGTTATGGAAAACTACAGTTTAAACACACTGTTCTCCTTCTCCTTACACTGAATCGAACTAAGATTCATCTTGATGCTTTACGTTACACAGACCAGTTATTTATGTGTGTTTAAGTGAGTGTTTATGTCCCGTCATTAACATGAGATAGAACTTGAACTACTGCTGTTACTGAATGTAATCATATACCATTCAACAAAGTATCCATTATGCCCTGTCATCTTAACATCTTTAAAGGAATGAGAGTAACACGGCTCATAAAGGTGCTGATTGGCTGCTCGTGTCTCAGTCTGATGTCTGTTAAAGACACAGAGCAGTGGACAACGCCAAATAAACTGCTGAAACAAAAACAAACCAACAAAAACTTCCAGAAAAAGAAAACATAATTAAAGAGAAACAAGTATCAAAGCCAGAATTCACAGCTTCCATGTAGGTGGATGTCGACCTAATAAAATGACTTACTGTCTGCCGTCCAAACGACAACACGGCAGTAAAGTCTCACTAAACCAGCTGCATGCATTCTACGAGAGCATTTAATTTGTCTCTGTCAAATCTTTTATTTACTGACACCTACACTAATGAAAGCTTCTGAAGATGAAAGGCACTACACGGGACACGCACCTGCACAACCTGTCAGTCTAGATTGTAGCAAGCCTTGTTTGTGCTATTGGCTTGTTGCAAGAGCAGTAACTTAAGGAACTTCATTTTTGAGCAATGCTCACGCTCTTTGATTTACGGATTAAAAAGTAGACAAATATATCTTTCAGCAGATATGTTAGCCATTTTGTTTGTTCATTGAAACTTTGAAGGTTGGGGGGAACATTTTTAATGTTGATCCTATCACAAACACACCGTGAACCGTAGACGGGAAAACAAGACTCTCACCTCCAGAACTCTGATGTAGCCTTTTTCAGCACTGAGGTGGAGACAGGACTTCCCTGAATTGTTTGCCTCATTCACATTGGCCCCCAAAGAGATCAAGTCTGCCACCATGAGGTGATGGTTGTGGTTTGCAGCATGCAAAAGGGCAGTCTGTGGGAAAAAAAAAAAACAAAAACATTTTTTTCTTTTTTTAATCCATCATGAAGTAGTAAAAATTCAGTACAACTCAAGTGAAGCGTTTGATTGTGGTATGGTTTAGACGGTTGTCTATTTTCACACTGTGGTTGGTTCATTAATCATCTTAACATTATAGTGACACATTTGTAGAATGTTACAATGATTTTAAAAATGACTCTACCATTCCGTCAGCATCTTTAAGGTCCAGGCTGTTGAGTGCAGCCATCCTTTTGGCTACAGCATAGCCCAGAGCCCTTTTACCGACACATGCAACTTTGTGAAGTGCTCTAGATAGACAAAACACATGAATACACCATTTAATACCAGTGACTTTTAGGGTAAAAAGCTCCACTGGCAGAAAATAGCCAGCTGTCTTGACTGAGTTCAATATAACAAACAACAGAAAGTCAAATTACTGTAGACATTTAAACAAAAACATGAAAAAAAACTTTTTACATAAAGAAAACCCCGATCCTTATTTATTTCATCTATGTCGGGACGGTTCACCTTAAACTTAATTTCCTCTGCAGTGAAGTTGAAAAACATTTTAATTGCCAGAAGGAGTTTCACGTGCTTGTGGTTTCAGATTATTTAAAGTGTATGTCCTGATTATAAAAGAAGAAAAAAAACTTCAACGACATCGGCAGAGGAGGAGTTGTCTCATCTGTTCCCAAAAAAAAAAAAAAGCACTGACAAGTGCTGAGGAGTGTGACCACACATGCCCACAAAATATTATATAACACCACAACATATGTGACAAGTGCTAAAATATTATATAACACCACAACATATGTGCATCATGTTACACAGATTTGCACCGCAGAGTAATTAAATCAGTTTGATTATGACGAGGCTTACGTTCTTCCGTGCTCATCTCTGGTCAGCAGAGCTGCATCAGAGATGTCCACCAACAGGCTTTCCTCCTTCTGCAGCTGGGTCCAGAAGTACGCCGAGCTGTTCAGGTTACAGCTGGGCGTCTGTGGCTCCAACCATTCTTCCACTCCTCCTTCGTCTCCTCTCATTGCGGCAGCGAAGGAAGGCTCACAGTTGGTGTACATGAAGCCAGGTGGGGGCGGGTTTGGGGGGCAATCGCCTGTCGCCAGCGAGTAAGTCATGTACGCCTGTGGGCTAGGGATCATTTCATCAGACTCGTCACTGTTGTAGCCTGTGTTTCAAAAGAGAGACGCAGACATTTTGAGTAGTGACAGATGTCGCCGGTAAAACAGTCAGTAAGATATTTTTCAATTGTCAAACGTTACCTGCTGGCGACTGCTCAGGGTCCGAGGAGAGCACACTTAAGGGGGAGTAGGAGGTGTTGCCTGCTCTGAGATCCTCCTCCAGGACCTCAACGATGATTGCCAGCTCCTCCAGGCTTTTTGTGGGATGTTTTTTCTAAGTAGGACAGACCAGTTTTGCAGCTGACATGTGATTTACAGTGTTCTGTGGCTGTCTTTACCATAAATCTTGAAGTTTGAACCTGTGTTTCAACACTAACCTTGGTGGTCTGGTATCCTGTACGAGTGTTGACTCGTTTCTTTTCTCCTGCAAGAGAAAATGTGAAGGTTATTTCAAACAGTCCTTTACCTACAGAGAGCGTGATACTAAGACTGAGTCCAACAGTTCTGTTAGTAACAGTAACTAATACAATGAGGCAGACCAAGAGTAAAAGGAGGCATCAAACACCACCACCACCACCACTATATGGAAATAACCACCACAGATCTTTACTGACCTTTAACTCGTTTCCTGTTGGTCTCCTGCAATCATGCAACAGTTGGACGTCAAAGAAAAAGCCAAATTTTCTAAGTTTGTTAATAATGATTTGGAAATTATTTTTAAGCAGCAAACAAATCTAAAGATCTACGGCAGCGGTGTCAAACTCAGTTTCACCCGGGGGCCACATTAGCAATACAGTTCCCCTTGAAGGGCCGGTTGTAAAGGGAAGACTACAAAGATCAGGGGTCACCAACCCTTGATCGCTGGACCGGTAACAGTCCGTAGGTCCAAAGATCAGGGGTCACCAACCCTTGGTCGCTGGACCGGTAACAGTCCGTAGGTCAATTAGTACCACGCCGTAGTGGGACACAGTGAAAAAAAGTACTTCATTTTTACTAATTTACTTCATTCAAAGAAAATCCAGTCATATCCATTTTCCTTCATCATTCAGACTCTGATACAAACAGAATAGAATCTAAAAGATGTTTTATTTTGAAGCACATTCTACCGGTCTGTAGTAACGGGTGGTACTGGCTGGCCAGTCCCTGGAACAAAAAAGGGCGAGGACTGCTGGTATAGATGTAACTACTCCATGACAGACTAATACATGTTTCTGCAATTGATTATTATTTATTCAAGCTACAAATATTGTTCATTTGTTCAAATTTCTCAGGTCTTCTTCTTGTATACACTGCAGCAGGATTATCTATAAAAGTTTTTTTTTTTTTAAATATAACCTATAATATCATTCCATAACAATGATGATTACCATGCTTCTAATGTATAGAAAGCCAACAGCAGGAAACTCATTATGGTCCTTTAGTTTTTCCCTTTTTTCATGAGTCTTGTGCTCAAAATACACAGATCGTAAAGGTCTTCTAGAAATATCCACTGGGCAAATGTGAGCACCATAGTAGATAGTAGTGGTTGCTCTGTCTTGAGGGAATATAGAAAAAGCCAAGAGGAAGTTAAACATGTGGTTTATAAAAGAACCAACATCAAATCCATGCAAAGTCTTTGAGCGGTTTGTTTCGTTTTCTTTTAATCAACGACAATTAGAAATAATTAAACAATATTTCTGATTATAATACAGAATTTATGATTACAAGAATAGTTATTACTGTCACTGCTGCTCTGTCTGTGTTCATTTATTTTGTATTTTAATTTGTTTTGTTTTTTTTTTTAGTAAAAGGGTTGTGGCTTCACCTGGTGTGAAGATATTCTTTTCTTGTGGTCAATTGAATGTTCTCTGAAGAGACTGGTAAATAATAAAAGACCATATAATATTTTAGAGTTACAATTATGTCAATAAAAGGGTTAAGAAAATAGACATCAAACATCCTGGTGGGTTAAGTGTCCAGGTAATTGGATCGGGCTGGTTGACACAGAGTTCACTCCTGTGAGTCTGTGTAATTGCCCCTTTGTGACGTTAAATAAGTACAAACAAAAGTCTGACCTGTGGGCAAACAAAACCTCACACCATTAACCACTCAACGTTATCTTGGTACCTTTGCTACAGTATAGCAAACAAAAGTGTATTTATTCTTCCAAACGGGGTATTTTGTTTATTATGTTCTGAGAACAACACATAAAATGTAATGACACTTTCACCAGAATCAAAGATTAAAGCAGACGGTTAATAAGATGGCTGCTGTTTCCAGATGCGTCCTACTTCAAAATGTGTCTTCTTCTGGTATTCACAAATGATATAAATGTAGTAACATATGTCTCAAACTCAAGGCCTGCGGGCCAAATGCGGCCCACCAGTCATTGTGTGAACCTTTGGAGCTAAAAAAGAGCTTGATAGATTTTTTTTATTACACAGAGCCATTTACAATATTTGTAACTATACTGTAGTTATACAGTCTTACAGTTACAACCGACCCTTCAAGAGGAACTGTATTGCTGATGTGGCCCCCCAGTGAAAATTTAAAAAAAACTTAAGTAAAATATTATATCCTATTATATTAAAATCAAACATTTAGACGGCACTGCTGTCGTGTCTGCTTGTTGACTCTGTCACGCTCAAAACTCAACACTACCTGGACATCTTGGGGTTCCCAGCCTTGTGCTAGACGCTTATTTCTCAGTAAATCTCTCACTGGCATTTTGACACGAACTCCAAGGTAGACCTTCTCAGATCTTCTGGCACCTGCAGAACAATAAGACAAGAAGGGTTTAGTGTAGGATCACAGGAAGGCCGAGTCAGACCATCTCAACAACCTTTTTAGAAGTTGACAAAAAAAAAATTGGGGGACATTTTATATGTCAAAAACAAATATTTTCCTACTGTGTGACAAAACATCATCTTTTTATTTTAAATCTGATATTGTGAGCAGTTATTTTTGTTTAGGCCACGCAAGTTTTACCATTTTTTAAAAATCCAAACAAGAGAAAGTTTATAATTTAACATATTGTAATGACAATTAGTGTGTGATAAAATACAATACATTTCACAAATTAAGAGATACATTACATTCAAAATCAAAATACCAGTTTACCAGTTTTAATAATCTGATGACGTTTCTAAAAAAAGCATATTTAAGATTTGACACCAGAGGAAGGATTAAGATTAAGATTAAGAAATCCTTTATTTGTCCCACAACAGAGAAGTTTAAAGTATTGGCAGCAGCAAAAGTACCGTACAAGGTATAGGAGTGAAGTATAGCTTAGAAAAAAGAAAAAAAGAAATACGGATATTAGTTTATTTAACAGAAATCATTCTTAACCTACACCATTCGAAAGCCAACGACACCAGCAGAGACTCAAACTCAAACTTCGTTTATCTCCATAAAACCATTTCCTACCTCTTTTACTCCCGGATCCTTCCTGCGAAGTAAACACGGGCGTCGGAACGTTGGGCTCGGCAAAACCGGCAGCGGGATCACCGGGGAAAGAGCAGAGTTTATCCGGGACTTCACATCTGTCTCTGAGGTCCCGTTTTTTATATCGTCCTTTCATTCTGTTATGTTTAAAATAAAAACAAGGCGCAAACAGGAAGTGCTTCTCTCTCTTTTTCTCTATCTGGATAACGCTACAAAACAAGCTATCTCTTAGCTGCCACTACTGTCTGTCCCTGTGTCGACCGCTAAATACCGACAGAGCAGCACCTGCTGATGTGTGTGTGAACAACTGTGTGTGTGTGTGTGTGTGTATTCGTGTTTGTGAGAACCAAAGAATCAACGCCCACCACCGGAGGACGCCCACGTGGAGGAGGATTCTCAGCAGGGTAACCTGTGCTCCAAATATTTTAGAAGTGACATAACGTAGGACTTCACTTTAAATGTGTTCTTTTTACTTTATGTTGTACATACTGTACATACAAGTACTGCTAAAAAAAGACAATAAGATAAAGTACAGACAATCTTTTTTCCTCTTTTAGGTCAGGTGTGTGATTGGGTTATGAGACCAAACGAGTGTTAATCATCTGCATAAAACACAGGCATTAGCTAAAACAACAACTGGCTTTTGAAGGGCTTGACAGATAAGGTGAAAGTCAGGATGACAGCTTAAATAAACCGACTATCGTCACAAGATCAATTGCAACAAGAAATGCATTTTACGTACATCGTCAAGGCCTCTCTGAGGCAAAGATATTATGACAGGTGGGGCTGTTGTTGTCGTTTTAAACGACACAAAAAAAAACCTCAGCAAACAATAATAGAAAAAGATTCTTTACAAGAATCACAGATGTTGTGGTCGATGGAGGAAACTTTAAGTAAAACATCAAGCGTCTGTGCGACCTGTTGAACTAAAAAATGTCCAGGAACGCCATCAGCTCAGAAGGCTGACGTGTGGGATAAAAAAAAAGTCCTTCAAGGGTCTTCAAGGAACAGTTACAGTCAGGGTGGGGAAATGTATGAAGAGCAAATATATATATATGTAAATATGTCCACAAACAAATACTAAGTTGAGGTTTTGAAAAAACAAACGGCATAGCTGTGCATGGATGTGTCAACATGTCAAATATTTGGCTGTGGAAATTAAGAGATCAGAGTGGAGGGGCGGGAGTGTGGTACACTGATGATAATGAATGGCTGCAGGCCAAAGTACAGCATGGAACGGTAGAGTACTTGCAAGTTTAGGTCTGCTTTTCAGCAAATGGAGTTTAGTCGGGATCAATGGTGTTGTCAGTGTTAAGAAAAACATTCAAAAAGGTATTAAATACAAATTTGCCACATATTCCAAAGATTGATAACAGTCCTTAAAAAGTTTGAAAAGCATCTGCAGATATATATATATATATATATATTTACACTATATTGTGAGCAAATACTTTTGGCAATATAGTATATATGTACACATATATGCATGCATGTGTGTATTTTGTGTATATATATGCCTGCACGTGTGCCTTAAAGTAAATTACTCTCAACACCAGACACGCAGCAACAGTGAAACGTACTTTCAGTGGAAGTTTTAGAACAAACCGCAGTACTTGTCGGGGCCAGTACTGTCACAGAACAAAGTACGTGAAATCAACCTCCCATTGGCCAAGTATTTCAAATTCAAAGTTAAATTAACAGGACAATATGTTGGAAGTAAAAAAAAAGGAGAAAAATCTCTTTGAAAAAGCTTTTTTTCTCCTTTTTTTTGGTCAGGCGAAACAAAGCTTAAACCAAAGCTTTAAAAAAGCTACTGAGAAAACAGGTATAGACCACTTTTAGTGACTGTGGAGTGAAAAAGCAACTCATGACGCTCAGCTACAAGTCTCTTCCTGATTATCAACACATTTGGTATTAGTAATTTAATATGAACTCTGCCTGGGGACAACTACAGCGGAGGGCGTGGTGATCATGATGACAACGCAACCTCTTTATCTTTGAGTCTCAACTTAGTCTGTAACTTTAGGCTGAAAGTTAATCAAGTCTACTCTGGAGTATTCTGTTCAGTTTTATGGGGTTGGTGTATTTTTTTTTAGAGAAATAAAAACCCTTTCACATGAAATGGTATGTACACAAAAGCTTCAATTGACACGTCACTGCAGATTTAGCTACATCTGTTGGGCAATCAGAAGCTGATAAGGAAACGTCGTAATGTTTATCCCTCGTAGAGAGGCTCACCTACCTGAACACTACACTCACTTTCCCCATGCACGACTGAAGTAAACATTTTTTAAACTTTAAAGTGGTCTAAATAAAGAGATAAATTACATTTAAAATCAAAATACCAGTCTCAGAGTCCTGAAACCAAAACAGGAAAATGATATTACTGTGAACATTGTCGTTAAAATTAAGATTTAAATTTTAAATTAAAATTATTAATTAATATTTGGTTTATATACTGTAGTATAGTTACGTATGTTTTTGAATCTGATGATTTTTCTATTTTGTTTATATACTGTAGTATAGTTATGTATGTTTTTGAATCTGATGATTTTTCTGAAAAGGCATTTTTAAGATTTGACACTGAAGAAAGGATTAAGATTAAGAATTTCTTCATTTGTCCCACCACAGGGAAATTTACGGTGTCGACAGCAGGTTTTTTTCTAATATACAGTACTCCGTGCCGTATAGTTAAGATCCAGCCATCGAGATCTAGAGTTTTCTCTAACCATCTGTGAGTCATTGTTGAGTGGAGGAGATAAACAACAACAACAACAACAGTCATTCCTACTAGTTGTTACCGTTAAGATTATGCGCACTTTTATTTGTTCCCAAATGAAGACATGTACATGTCTCAGGATCAGAAAAGAGTTTTGTGTAGAAGGAAATGATAGAATACTGTAGAAAATATTAAAGTACCACATGGGTCAAAAGAACAGCCAACTTTGTATTTTAGTAACAGCAAACATTGCACAGTAAGTGCATTTCATTGTTGTGTAGCACATCCCTTTGCCTAAAGCCAGGCTTATTTATTCACATTATTGTAATGTAATGTAATTTATTCACACTATTGAAATTGATTTAAAAAACATTTTTTTAAGTTTTGGGGAAAAGAAACTCAACCTGCTTACAGCACCTGAGAGTTTAAATATAGGAAAGTATTAGGCTTCAGGGCACTTTAGAAGTCATTTTAGAAGCGTGTTACATGACTCTGACTCTGACTCCGACGTGAAACAGCTGAGTTCAGTAACAACATATAAACATTACAAAACTCAAAGTCTGTTTTCGGTGTCGAAACAGAACCCTGTGGTACTGATGCACGTGGTGGGACCTAAACTAAAACTTCTTGTGCCATTAAATGTGGCAGGAAATATCCCTCAACAGTGTAAAACATGGGCCTGCAACGACCTGCACACACGGCTGCTGTCGCTGTCCCACGTCACAGTGTAGTTCTCGCACATTTGAATCACCATTTCGATTTGCACAGTTGTACTACTGCGCTGCTTATATTTTATTACACCTCTATTGTGTTTTGTTGTTGCTTATTTACAGGTGTTATTTTTACCCTTATTCTTACCACAGCAGTCTCTTTTTTCATATGAACTTTGAACTTGGAACAAACATTTTGCCAAATGATACTATTAAATAAAATAAAAACACACAGACACATATACCAGAAACGACGGTACATATCCCTCTCGAATAAAATTCCTCATTAGACTGACATGCAGATCTTCAACATACTTGACAAAAGTTGGAACAGAGACAAAAAATTCAAAAGGTTATACGGTACAAAACAGGTTTGAGTAGACTAGTAGACCGAGCAAGCAAAGAAGGGCTGGGCGTTCTATTGTTTGTCAATTATAATGATAGATTTACAAGATAGAGAACAATTCAGACATGTAAATATATTCTTTAAAGTTGTGAATAAAGAATTTCAGATGCAGGAGGATTCAGTATTCACACAAGTTGAGCGTTGAACAGCTGCAGAATTTGTTCCTGACCTTTAAGCGCTCAGTCATGACTGCATGAGATCAAACTGTGTTCAGCATCACGTCTCAACACAACCACTGAGTGGAACTTTCCTTGAAGTTGTGCCAATCAAGGTCATTACAGCGGAACCTCGGTTTTTGAATTGAATTCGTTCTTGACGGTTGTTCGTGAACCGAAAAGTTCGAAAACCTCCCCTTAAGAATCAATGTAAAATGGATGAATCCGTTCCTGGACCTCGGATGATTCAAAGCAAAAACCTCTGGCCAGCTGAACACCAGCGCTAATACTGAGCTAACATGTTGTTTGCCTGTCTCGCTTTTGTTTAGTGGTGCCCAGGTTGCATCCAGTGAACTCATATGCAGAAAACAGCTGCTCGCTCTGTCTGACAGTGATGTTGATGTGGACAAATGCTGGGCAATCAAACCCTAACAATGTCTCGGGAGACTGAAGAAGAAGTACACACAGAGAAGAGGAACTGCTGTGCTGGGCCGTCATTATAACAGGACAAGTCTCTGCCAATGACACCTTTTACAAACTGTACTGCAATTGAAATTTAAAATAAACTGTGAAATATTGACAATAATAATATACTGTACCAGGGGAAACTCTCTGATCTATGTAAAATCCAAATAATTTCATCTTCAGACCTACTGTAGACTCGCTAACTAACTCAATTTGCAACAGTGTAGTAATTATGCAAACTACAGTGTCAGGAAACCTACTCACAACATGCTCCCCGACATTTCCACCCAATACACTAATATGATCATGACTCCAGGGTAAATGTATTTCCCCCTCCTTAAGCTGCTTGATTTTAAGGCTGCATTTTTTGCAGTGTTTTTTTTAAAGAGCATTAATTACATTACACTCTTTATGTTTAATTGTGTTTTTTGTTTTGTCTGCACTTTTTTTCTTTATAGTACTTGTTTAATTGTTTCTGGAAAATTAAAGATGCGTTTTGGAAATTTTGGGAAACAAAAAAGAACGTTGGATTCTTCATGCTGGTTGTAAAAGAAGAATAGCACAGTAGGTTACATCTCTACAGTAAAATATGTGTTATATATAGATATATATAAACATATATCTATATATAACAGAAGGGAACCTACTAAGCCAATAGAATAATGCTAAAACAAGTAAAGACTAGCGATTATGGGCTACCAGCTAAAGTCTGCTAAATTCATTTGTTAGTGTACAGGTATTGTCCCAAGGCGACAAAGGTAATAATGCACCCAGATATAATAGCAACCACATTCCACTGAGGCCTGCTCTGAGATATTTCTGTCTCTTCATGGAGTCAACAACCAGGGATCTGTCTGCTGTCAAAAGTATATGCTTCATGCAGAGGGGAGGCACAAATTGGCTGAGAAAATACCACGAGTTCCAGACAGCTAAAACTGAGAGCATGTTGCAGAGCAAGCATGTCAAAGTTGAAAGTGGGACCTGCGACTCAGGGCCCCAGCGATATGAGCTGAGTTTGGGGAAAGCCTGATGTTTGAAGGCTTTAAAAAGTACATGTATCTCAAATATTGCTGATAATTGACAATTGTCCCATTCACGTTTATCCAGAATATACGGTTCTGTTCTAAAATCAGCAAGCATTGTTAACATCTTGAAGCTGTATATTCTGTTAAAATCATGATGCTATTTTTGTAAAGTACTCTTCCTTAGATCCCGACACATTTTATTTGTATACCGCAAAGGCTTAATTATTATGTGTACTCTTCTGAACTCATCGTCTCGGTGTTCCCCAGGGCTTTACTGTTGGACACTTTTTTTTTTTTACAAATTCTCTCTCACTTTATTTTGTATAGAATTTTAAGGAATTGATAATTTGCAGTACATAATGTAGAACATGACATGTCCTGCAACCCAGTGTTTCCCAAAGTGGGAACTCTGTATCGCCCCTTAGAGGAATGGAGTTGCTGCAGGGTAGCCGTTTACATAATTAACAGATCAC